GCTTTGCCACCTCAGCCAGGGCCCTTGGCCTTAACAGTCATATCCCCAGGAAGAAGGGACTTAGAGCTGGACTTGGTCCTCTGAAACTTAGCCTGCCTTCCTCTGTCTCTCTAGGGAGCTGCCAACCTCCTGGTGGTGGGAGCCGTGGCCCTCCTGGACCTCAGCCTGGCATTCCTGTTCTCCCAGCTCCTCACCTGAGGCTACTTCCTGGCCTAGTTCTGGCTTTGGTTGCTGCCTCTTTGCCCCTTGGACTTACCTTTTCCTCTTTTCCTCCTCCTGGTTGTTTTTTCTACCTTTTCTCTTCTCCTTTTCCTTTTTGATCCCTCTTTGTTTTTATCTATTGCTTTTTCTTTGTCCCTCTCTCAGATTATCTCATTTATTCTGGATCTGTCTCTGTCTTCCTCATTCCTTTCCCAATCCCAACCCTTTCTCTTTCTCTAGATTGTTTACATATGAAGGGCTTTTCTCTCTCAGAGTTGTTCTCTTCTCTGAGACATACAAATCAAGTCAGACCATTGCCCCACCCCCTCCCCTTTTTGTTAGACCTAAACTTCACTGAGGGTGGGTTTGGTGTCTTCAGGAGTCTCCTGGAAGCTGAATGGAAAGGAGAAAGAAAGTAGAAAAGGGGGTGACTGACTACTGGGCAAGGTATTGGCTGAGCTGCTGTCACTCCCTGACCCAAAGTGCCAGGTGTCCCTCTGGGGCCTTGTGAAAAACTGGAGGAGGTCAGACTCCACCTCTTATCTTGGAGGATCTTATCTCGCTTCCAAGCACTGAGCTAGGTTCTTGCCTAACTCAATCCTTCCCTGAGGGAGATATGGGATGTGGAAGGTAGAATGACTCCCTAACTTCTCCCTCTTTCTTTCCTCACAGCCAGCCCCGCCTCCAACCCCTTATGGTGGCATGCCAAGAGCAAATGTAAAGGAACAAAAAATATCCAATGCAACCAAGTTCCACCCCCTCCCTAACTTTGCCACTGACCTGTCCCACCCTTCTGTGTCCCCCTAAGTTTGGTTGGTCTGGACTCACTTGTGGCCTTTGATTAAATTCCTAAGGGACCTGAAGAAGGCATTTCTACTGCAAAGGGTTAGAAGCACTTAAGCAAGTGCCTCACTCCCCAACTCTGTCAGCTGTGGTGGGGGGAGGCATTTTTGGGAGATGGAACTAGATGACAGGAGCTCACAGAGCTGCACAAGCTGTGACAAGTTTAATTCTCTCAGAATGGGTGATAACTCTTCCCCCATCACATCAGAATCTTGTGAAATGGGAAGACAAACAACAGGAGGGGATCAAAAAACCTGACCCCTCCCACACTTTCAAGGCAAGGCAGAGGTAGGAGTCAAAACTAGGGTGAGAGGTGGGTGGAGATCCCTGTTTGAGGTTGTGTCTGATCCCTGGTACTAGCTTTCCCTCTGGGGGCAGGAAGCCCTAGGAAAAGGGGACTGTAAGACCCCCTCAGGGGCTCTTTCCTCCCTCCCCTGCATGAGGCAGAGGCAAGCTGCCTACCAATCCCTTCCCTCAAGGAATGGCCTTGCCTGGGAATGCCCACCACACACATACACCTTCTTTTTTTCTAGTCAAACTCTGTTTATTCCTTGGCCTGCCTCCCTCCATCCTCCCCTCTCAAACTTTACTTCTGATTTCTATTTCATGGAATTTGGGACTGAAGTTAAACAACAACAGTGCCACCAACACCCAGTCTTGCAGGAAAAAAAAAAATTAACAAAAAATATATTAATAAAAAAGTTCAAAAAAGGGGGGGGATTGTCATCTCCTTTGGGATGCGATGGCTTCAAACCCAAGCTGGAGCTCTCCGGGTGGTGATAGTGTACTAGGACCCCTCTTAGGGTACCCCAGCCTCTCCACTATGGATACAAGCTGCTTTCCTTGAACCCCAAAGCCGGAAGCTTAACATCAGGGGAGTCTTGAGGGCTCTGCAGGGCGGGCCAGGAGGGGCCGGGTCGCGTGATGGGGGCGGGTAGAGAGGGACGGGCCAGACGAAACACCACACCCGAAGGGCTCTGTACCAGGAAGAGCTTGGGGAGAAAAGAGCGGAGAGACAAGACCCAGGTGAGGCTGTTGTATAGGGCTAGCTCCTGGAGTGGGGAAACTGCAGTGCCCTGAGATGGGAGAGGGAGGAGGAATCCCACGGACGGAAAAGCACGGAGCCCGGAAAGGGAAGGAAGGTCTGAGTTAGGGATGGGAAAACCAGGTGTGTGCGTGGAGAAAGGAGGGCAAAATTAAAAATAGGCGGGGCTCTGGCACATGCTCAGTGGGGACAGGCGGGGGGGCGGGGACGCATGCGTAGTGGGGAGTCCCTGTGGCCAGGGAGGGCGGAATTTGGAACCTAGGTGGAGGAAGGTAAATGGGCTCGGTTGTAGGGTTGCAGTGGGACACGGACCCTCGGGGTCTTGGCACAGGGCAAGCCTGGGCAGAAGGGCCAATGCACACTGGGCTAGAGTGTTAAAGCCCTCTCCATTCCCGGGCTCTGCCCCCTAGGATGGTGATGCCTTCGTTGAAGCTTCAGGATCTAATCGAGGAGATTCGCGGGGCCAAGACCCAGGCACAGGAGCGGGAGGTGATCCAGAAGGAGTGCGCCCACATTCGTGCCTCCTTCCGGGATGGGGACCCTCTGCACAGGCACCGTCAGCTGGCCAAACTGCTCTACGTCCACATGTTGGGCTACCCTGCCCACTTTGGACAGGTATGGGGCAGGGACGCCTCCTCCAGAGTTTGATTAAGAATAGTGGGGCGGCGTCTCACAGCCCCTCACCTACCTACCTTTGCCTCCAATATGTTATTCTGCAGTCTCTGAGCCTCACAACATGCATCTCAACCACCCTCCCAACATAGCCGCCATTGGTCCTGATGGGCCTGTACCCTTCATTCTCTGGCCAGCCTCATCCAGGACACCTTATCCTCTCCTCTCCCATCTCAACGGCCCTAGTTCCTTGAAAGTACCCACTAATGCCTGGATCTCTTAAGCCTCTCTCTTGTTGAAAGGAGGACTATGGGCTGTTGTGCCTCCAAATTAATCTAGTGTAAAGGAAGATGAAACAGGGATGTTAGTGTCTCTGGTTTCACCCCTTCCCTGTAGATGGAGTGCCTGAAACTGATCGCCTCCCCCAGATTCTCAGACAAGAGGGTGGGCTACCTGGGGGCCATGCTTCTATTGGATGAGAGGCAGGATGCCCACCTGCTCATTACCAACAGCATCAAGAAGTGAGAGGGCTGGGGTGGTTTTGGGAAGCACTTGAAATCAGGGAGACGGGAGTGTGGGCAACTGGGAAACCCCAAGGGGCTGCCTGGTATGAGTATGGGGAAGACTGGTTTTCTCAGAGGCTTGACTGACCCCCAACCCTGCAGTGACTTGAGCCAGGGGATTCAACCAGTACAGGGTCTGGCCCTGTGCACTTTGAGCACTATGGGCTCTGCTGAGATGTGCCGGGACCTGGCCACAGAGGTGGAGAAACTGTTCCAGCAGCCCAGCCCCTACGTGCGCAAGAAGGTGAGGTGGCAGACATTTTTCCCTCCAGAAACCATCCCCAGTTTGCCATGTAGTAGAGATTTGCCATGGAATTTGGTGGACCCCTGCCCTGTCTCAAGGAACTCTGGTAGCACAGTGCCTAAGGCATCTCACTGCTAACCAGGTTGGTGGTTCAAACCCACCAGCCATTCCATGGATGGAAGACTGGGCTATCTACTTCTGTAAAGATTTACCCCTCAGAAACCTAAAAGAGGTCACTATGAGTCAGAATCAACTCAATACCAGTGGGATTTTGGTTTGGTTTGCCCTGTTTTGAGCTCCCTAACCTCTGCAGGCTATTCTTACTGCGGTGCACATGATTCGGAAGGTCCCTGAGCTCTCAAGCATCTTCCTCCCACTCTGTGCCCAACTGCTTCACGAGCGCCACCACGGTAAGGCCATGGGGCACCCCATCCCTTGCCTCAGCTCTGGCTGTAGACTGAAGAAGTGAAAATTGGAATGGGAATACCAGCTCATAGGAGAAAGGCAGCAGTCACTCACACACATATAGTAGACTCTTTCTTGCCCCTGCCCCTGGCCCACACTTTGCTTCCACGACCCTGACCCCAGGCATCCTGCTGGGGACCATCACGCTGATCACGGAGCTCTGCGAAAGAAGCCCTACAGCTCTCAGGCACTTTCGAAAGGTGGGCTGGTGAAGGAGCAGGCTCTGGGCCAGGAAAAGAGGGGCAATGGGGGAAGGATAGCCTGGATGTTGAGAGGATAGGAAGAATGCCCAGCCAAGGCTGTGCCCTCCCTCCAGGTGGTACCCCAGCTGGTGCAGATCCTCCGGACTCTGGTGGCATCAGGATATTCCACAGAACACAGCATATCTGGAGTCAGTGACCCCTTCCTGCAGGTGGGCTGACCCTTATGTACTGTATCACTGGAATAAAGAGAGTTTAGTAAGCCCATGGCCTGTGGCTACCTCCCAGGGAACACTGTGGCTCAGTTAGTGTCTTGGGCAAGAAGGTCCAGGTTGTTGCAAGACGAGGGGCAGGAAGTACCCTGGTCAAAAAACCCAGTTTGACACCCATTAAAAAACTCCAAACTCCAAACTCCCCAGGCCTCGCAAACCTCTGGTGTCTTTCCAGAACCCCCAGGGACCTGTGGAGGTGAGGGAGGGGCAGGGAGGTGCTAGGAAGTCAGTCAGACCTTTCACAATACTTTCAATGTTGGATTTTTCTCCCAACTCCCACACCTTCTTACCCTATGAGACCATCCACCTTTCAACTTTTAACCCAACCTCAGGTCCAGATACTTCGTCTTCTTCGGATTCTGGGCCGGAACCATGAGGAGAGCAGTGAAGCCATGAATGACTTGCTGGCCCAGGTAGGGGACTGGGGAAGGGGCAGTGGTTAGGTGTGTTGCTCTGTGACCCCACCAGCCCTGGACATCCCTCACATGACCACTTTCCATGAGTGGGCTATATTTATCACCTCTTTGTTCCCCTTGAGACTGTGGACTCCAAGAGGGACACTGTCTGTCTCAGTGTGATAGCCTAGTGTCCATTCTGGCCCTGGTACATAGTGGGGGCTTGGGGAACTTTGTTGAGTGATTGGATAGACAGACAACATGATAGAAACCTGAGGACAGAGACCTTTGCAGATGCATATCCTCTTCTGATTCATTCAGGTGGCCACTAACACAGAAACCCGCCAAAATGCAGGCAACGCAGTCCTGTTTGAGACAGTGCTTACCATCATGGACATACACTCTGCAGCTGGCCTAAGGGTATCATATGCTTCTCCCACTATGGCAGCCTATTCACTGGTTTCCCCTCTCCATCCATCATATGCCATGTGGCCTCCGTTCTGAATGAGCAGATTGTGCCTTCCCTGACTGCCCTCAACTTCTGCCTCCCATAGGTTCTAGCTGTCAACATTCTTGGCCGCTTCCTACTCAACAGTGACAAGAACATTAGGTAATAATGCCAGTGTCTGGCTGCAGCTGTGCTGCTGAGCTCCAGGCCCTCTGCCCTTCTCCAGCATCTCTTGATCCAACTACTTCTACCTCTGTACCCAGGGTAGGATAGAGAGTGGGGGCTGATGGCTGTGGGCATGATAGGGCCTCTCCTACACTGACCAGGTATGTAGCCCTGACATCATTGCTGCGGCTGGTACAGTCTGATCACAGCGCTGTGCAGCGGCACCGGCCCACTGTGGTGGAATGTCTGCAGGAACCTGACCCCTCCCTTAGCCGGTGAGTGGGGATAAGAGGGCCCAGCAACTGGTGGGTAAGACCTGGACCAGCTTAGAGCAGCTGAATGAGGCAGCTAAGGGGATGGGTGCCTGGAAAAGGGGAGAACCTAAGATAGGAAGGGATGACCAGGGCTGCCTTACATAGACACCTGTATTTTTTCCCACTAGGAGAGCCCTGGAATTGAGCTTGGCTCTGGTGAACAGCTCCAATGTGCGAGCCATGACAAGGGAGCTACAAGGCTTTCTGGAGTCCTGTCCCCCTGATCTACAGGCTGACTGTGCATCAGGCATTCTGTTAGCTGCAGAGAGGTGAGATGACAGGTGCCCAGGAGGCAGAGGGAGTGAAATGCGGGGTCAGTGCCAGGACTGATGAACTGCATGTCCCCAGGTTTGCCCCAACCAAGCGCTGGCACATAGACACTATCCTGCATGTGCTGACTACGGTGAGGTGGGGACTGGTCTGAGAGCCGGGTGGGAATAGGCAGCTTGCCTCACTGGCTTGACCATGTTCACCCCACCACCATCAGGCAGGTAACCATGTGCAGGATGACGCAATAGCCAACCTGACCCAGCTGATTGGGGAAGCCCAGGAGCTGCATGCTTATTCTGTGCGCCGCCTCTACAGTGCCCTGGCAGAGGACATCTCCCAGGTATTGTGCCCACCTGCCCAGGCCCAGGGCTGCCCAGACACTCCCTCAGCCCTTCCTTGGCCACCTACTCCCAATACCTGATTCTTTCCTATTTTTTTTTAGCTGTCTTCTTAGTGGAGACACTTAAGGACAAAAAACTCACTGCCATCGAGTTGATTTGACTCCTAGCAACCCCTCCATGGGTTTCTGAGGTGGTATTACTATGGAAGTAGATTGCCCAATCTTCCTTCTGAGTTGTGGCTGGTGGGTTTGACCTGCCAGCTTTCTGCTTAGCAGTCAAATGCCTTAGGCACTACACCACCAGAGCTCTTCTCAAGGACCAAACCAAACCAGACTCACTGCCATGGAGTCAGATCCAACTCAGCGACCCTTCCTTGGGTTTCTGAGGCAGTATCACTATGGAAGTAGATTGCCCAACCTTCTTTCCAAGTGGCTGGTGGATTTGAACCGCCAGCATTCTGGTTAGCAGTCAAATGCCTTAGGCACTATGCCACCAGAGCGCCCGTTTTTAGTCCGAACACCTGGGCTTTTCTCCTTGCTTCGATAACTACTAGCCTGGCAACCAAGATGACTAATTAGACATTATGTTCAGTGTGCTCAACTCTCTCCCCTGCCTGCCTCATGGAGCTATCGTGAAGATCAAATGAGATTTTTTACATGCATTAGCTTTTATTATTACCTTAAATGCTGAGTAGATTAGCAGATGCCAGCCAATATCTGCAGTCTTTTTTCCCTTAGGGAGAGGCAGCAGAAGCTATCCACTCCTTCTTAAAGGGAGGGACCCCAGAAACCAAACCCTCTCACTTCACCGTTCTAGCTGTACAGTGTGGTTAAGCCTTGTAGTTGTGAAAGTTGGCCACCAGAGGGCAGTAGGACCCAGCTGCCAGGACAGCTGGGTAACAAAATTCTAAGGTAAACTGCTCTGTGCACCAAGGCCCTTCCCTTTCCCCATCCTGCAAACCTCACCATCTCTGCATTGCCTAAAGGGTTGTTACAGGGTCTGGAGGTGGGGAGGAGACCCTAGACACTGGCTCAGCTGTATTTCTTATCCCACGCAGCAACCACTGGCACAGGTGGCTGCCTGGTGCATCGGGGAATACGGGGACCTCCTGTTGGAGGGAAGCTGTGAAGAAACTGAGCCTCTTCAGGTGAGGCTTGCATTGGGGGTACATTGAGGAGGAACTCAGGGAGGCAGGGCTGACCCTTGCAGTCACTGCTTGTGTCCACCTCTGAAGGTAGAGGAAGAAGAAGTGTTGGCACTGCTGGAAAAGGTGCTCCAGTCCCATATGTCCCTGCCGGCCACCCGAGGATATGCCCTCACAGCCCTCATGAAGCTCAGCACCCGCTTTCATGGGGTCAGCAAGTAAGGGGTCTCAAAGGCCCCATCTTGGAGCTCCCAGTGAGAGACGTCCTTTAACTATGCACACATTTCTGAACTTCTCTCCAAGCACAACCCCCTATCTCTGCCCCACCCCCACCCCAATCCTTAGGCTCTTGCTTTTGAGCCAAGTATCTTTGGTATCTCTTTGCCCTGTGGGGTCTCTCCCTTCCCTGCCACATCCTGGAGGTGAAGGGCAGGACAGACTTCATTCCCACTTACCCTCATGCTGCGGCCCAGCCGCGTCCACCAGGTGATGTCCATCTATGGGAGCTGTCTAGATGTGGAACTGCAGCAGCGGGCTGTGGAGTATAACCAATTCTTCCAGAAGTATGACCACATGAGGTATGTTCAGCACTCTCCTGCAGTGTGGGGCCCAAACCCCTGCCCTGCCCCTAAATGCCCCTCTCTGGGTACAAGGGTCTTACCCGACCTATGTCCTTCTTCATCCTTGGTGAAAGCCTCCCACCCATAGCTCACTGAAACTAAGCTGGCTTCCCACCCACCTTGCTCATCTGAAAACCAGCAACATTGTGCCATATGAGGAAATCAGGAGGACACTTCTGACCCTCCATGTGCCCGGGGCTTTCCACATTCTTACCCCACCTCCCAGATGCCTCTTGTGAAAGGCCTGAGATCCACAAAGAGTCTATTCCAAGGGGATTCCATCCTCTCAGGGCCGCCATCCTTGAGAAGATGCCTCTTATGGAACGAGGTAGCCCTCAGGTTGAGGAGAAGGCTGAGGAAAGCAAAGCAGCCCAGCTTACAGAAACAGCCCCTGTTCCCACAGAGCCCCAGGTGAGGAGGCTGGAAACCTGCAGTGAGGAGGACGTGGCCCACTTCCACACCCAGGCATGACCCTTATATCCTTTCCCCAGGCCTCAAAGCTCTTGGATCTATTAGACCTCCTGGATGGTCCTTCTGGGGATACCCAGCATCCTCCCCACCTTGATCCCTCCCCAGGAGGTGCATTAGTACACCTCCTCGACTTGCCCTGTGTTCCTCCACCCCTGGGTAAGTCAGCAAAGAAACAATGTTTGGAAAGGCCAGAGAGCTGGATCTGAGAGGTGGGATGGGAAATGTGCAGCGTCTTCTTAGCCAAGGACTGAGGTTCACGTACACTCTTCCCTCCTCTATGGCCCCCAGCCCAGCCCCTCCTCAGAAGGTAAAGGGTTCTTTAGATCATGTCCATCCCTCGTAGACAGCCTTCAGTGTCTTCCCTTGTTCTAAATTCTGTACCTTGTTCTTCTACAAGGCCCTGCTCCCTCCCTAGCCTCATCTCATGACACTTGCCCACTGTGAACTCCACTGGCCCCTCAGCTCCTCAAACCCTCTCACCTCAAGCTCTTGGCATTTCATGTTTTTTTCACATGGAATGGTCTTTTCCAGTATATCACATGACCAGCTCGTTCTCATTCTTCAGGTCTCAGCTAACATGTCAGGTGCCTTCTCCTGCCACCCCCCTCTAATTGCGCTGGCATAATTTATTTTCTTCATAGCACCTACTACATTCCATGATTATCTTGCTTGTTTTCTTGTTTATTGTCTCCTTCTCCCACTGGACTGTAAGCTCCAACAGGCCAGGGATGTCATTATCTTGTTCATTTTGTCACAAGCATCTTGAGTAGTCCTGCACCTAACAGGTACTCAGTTGATTTGTGTTAAATGAATGGCTTTGTTATCCACAGACCAAACACTGAGCTGCCTGTCTCGTCTTACTCTAGCTCCCATCCCAAATCTCAGAGTGTTTGAGCGCCAGGGGCTACAGCTGAATTTGTCTTTTGTTCGACCCCCTGGAATCCCTGCTTTGCTTTTAATCACTGCCACTGCCACCAACTCCTCAGAGAGTGATGTCACCCACTTCGTCTGCCAGGCTGCTGTGCCCAAGGTTTGTATTAGACTGGACTAGAGTTCAGAAATGGCCTGGGCACGCACTCCAGGAAAAAAGGCCATTAAATAGAGGAGGGGGTGGGAGACAGAAATGAGATGGGAAGGGAATGGCATGCAGAGACACAAATTAGGGAGTTTTGGGAAGAGGGCCTGGAACTATTGGGTGTTGGAGGGCTCACCTGAGCCCAGCCAGCTGCCTTACAGTATTCTGCCCAAACCTCCTATGTTCAGAATTTCCAGCTGCAGCTCCAGGCTCCTAGTGGGGACACACTTCCAGCTCAGGGTGGCCTTCCTATCACCCAGCTCCTCAGAATCCTCAATCCTAACAAGGTGAGCTCCAGGAGCCCCATGAATAAGACCCAGGGGAGGGAGAAGTCGTGTGTACTAACCCTAGTCTCTGCTCTCCTATTCCTAGGCCCCCTTGCGGCTAAAACTGCGCCTCACCTACAACCACTTTGGGCAGTCAGTGCAGGAGATCTTTGAGGTAAACAACTTGCCTTTGGAGACATGGCAGTAATGGGGCTCAACCTCCAGCCTTGACTTACAGCTTCAAATCCTATGGCCTAAACCAGTGCGTCTCCAACAGCGTGGATCTAGGCGAGGGTTACCAGCAGGTGGCGCTCCCCCTCTGCCTCCCCCTACAAAAACTGTAGGGGCTTGTCCCCCCTCCCCCACAAATAATGAAAGTCCAATAAAATATAAAGGGGCCAGCCATATTTGGGTATATTTGGGGCATAAAACGTGTATGAGTAACAGCAAGGGAAGAAGAGTTCTTACACAGGAATTATGTATCTTTCCCTGAGCCTTTGAAACCTGTTTCAATGAAAAGGGTTTTCTTTCTCCCTCTCTCCAGCCTGGGGAGCAAATTTGCCCCCAAACTTCCATAGGAAGCACTCTACCCACTGCACAATCAAAACAGAATTTCTAGATTTCCAAGAGTGATTTCCACCCATTTCTCCAACCTGCTACTACTCCCCCCACCCCAAGGCAGGGAAATCCCTGCTGCCTCCCCTCCTCTCTAACTCAGCTGTAAGGTGGTTTAGGAGCCGCTGGCAGAATCAATGGCATCGACCAAGGGAGAGGGGGGCGGCAAGGGATTTTCCTGTGCTTAACTACTGATCACAGCTAAGTGGAAATCCTATAAACACGAGCGGAAATCAATGGAGGCTGCTTAGCGGCCAGGGGAGAGGGGCAGCCCACAGATTGCATCTGACGGATGAGGGAGAAGCGGCAGCCAGGGAGGATTCAAGGAAGGGGAACTGAGGGTAGATGAAGGAACAGGCAGAGCTGGAGAGAGGGAAGCCAGGATAAGTGAGCCCAGGAGTGAACCCCATTAGACCCAGAGTTCTTTCCTCTCTAGCAAACGACACCCTAGACCAGGCTACTGTCTGGATGTTTGGCTCCCTGTGGTCTCTCTCGAGCGGTTCACTTCTAGCAAGAGTTCATAGTCCTGAGGCTGGAAGCGCTGCAGGTACACGATCAGCTTAGCAGGTGGCTTCTCCTGTGCTGGCACACCTACAGGCAAAAGAACAGTGAGGAGAGCCATGACAGATCCAAATGCTTTGACTGCTCCCTGCCCACCCAGCCAGGACCCCGGAGTTACTTAGGCAGCACTGGGATTCTGAGTGCCACCCAACAGCTTCCATAACCCACTTCCTTACTGGCCTGTGGAAATGGAATCTAAAAGGGCCAGTTCAGGCAAGAGTGTGGCTGGGAAGCCAAGCACGAGCCTCTCCAGCAAGAAGAAATGGTGAAGAGGGACCCAAGGTGCCATGAAGACAGAGCACTTCAGCAGTGACTCACTTCAGTTATTGTTTCTGTTCTCTAATCAAGATTTAAGCCCATCTAGGCAGGCCTAAGCTCATTAGGTTGGTAATAAAGCACATGCAGAGATGCCCAAATACAGAGAAACCGGAGAATGTAGAAAGACTAGAGAAGAAGCTGTAGCCATGGGGCAGGATCCACCTAGAATCTGCCCTCCATCTAATGTGGTGCCGCCTACTGCAGTGTTGGCTGTCTGTGCCTGGCAGCATGCTGGACATTTAGCAGGCAATTCAGTGTATGTTTGCTGAGAAGGTAAGAATAGAAATCCAGGGCTATAAGGCCCTGTGGGATGCACAGCCCTATACTTCTGTGGATGAACTGTCTACAAGGGAGTTAAGCCTAGGTAAAGAAAAATCTGCCCAAACTTACCAATATTCTTAAGTTTTACTTAAAGCCAACATAACAAATTAAACTAAGATCTAGTTAGTTGTAAAAATGAGAGGATGGGGGCTGGGGAGGGGAAGGAAGGCAGGACTGAAGCAGGAATGAATGGCACAAACGGAACTGAAGGAGACCTGCAGTGGCTAGAGATAAGAGATGGAGAACCAGACGAGGCAAAATGCCTGGGATAGAGTAAGAGACACGTGGAAAAATTGAATCCAGTTAGACAGCTACTATAAAAGCAAAGGAAACCCAACTGATAACATGAAATCAACTGGGTCCTCTAGAAAATAGCTAAAACAATTCTCATTACAGAAATAACCCAGAGACCCTCTCCCACTACATGGTCTAGTGGGTGCATCCAAGATAGGAAAATAGGGATTAGGGAAAGCAGAGAGGGGCCTGTTTCCCTCACCAAGCAGGCTGCTGAGGCTGTGGATCTTCTCCAGGGCAGTTGGCACTTCCGCCTCCTCATGGACCAGGGCCTCCACCTCACCCACAGCATAGCCAAAGTCAGCTGTGTCCAGGTCCACCCTGAGTGGCAGCTCCTCAGCCCCCAAGAGCACCAGCTTCCAGGCACTCCGCTTAGTCACAAAACTAGCTACTTCCTGCAGCCCTAGTGGACCCAGCACAGCAGCCATGCCTCCAGCCCCCAACACCTCAGCCCCCAGCACCTCACAGAGCTTGGCCACAATTGCAGGCTCAGCTGTGAGTTCCATGTACTCAGTGTGGGGTCCTGAGACACCAGCTGCTCCAGGGCATTTGAGTTCCCATCCGCTACCCTCTCTCTGTCGCAGCCAGTGGTCAGCCCTCATGAGCCTCAGTTCGGGGGTGTCATAGTAGCTGTCTCGGAAGGTGATCTGGTGCTCCAGGGTGCTCCCCAACTCCTGCAGCCGCTCCTCTGTGGCAGGCCCAGGGATGAACTTTCGCTCCACCTCAATCAAGCCCTGGGCCATGCTACCTGCAGTCAGTCAATCAACAAACATTTGCTGAGTTTCAAATCGTGCAAAGCCTGGAAGCTCAGCCCTGCAGGGAGACAGCTCAGCACACCCTGTCGCAGAACTCAGGGTTTGGGCTACAGCCCTTTCTGCTTGCCATAGATGATGGATAGACCATTCCAATGTTTCAAGGTTCCACAACAGTGTCAGGACTCCAGTTAAATCCCTCCCACTAACGTGCTCAAACCAAACGCCTCCCGCAAGCCGGCTGTGTAGTGGGTGTCTTCCTTTCAACGCTCCCCCTCTAGACCTTGGTATATACCCAAGAAGGCCAGTGGTTCACCATCCAGGGTGACACTGCCCTTTCCCGCCACAGTCCCGGCCCGCAGATCCTCAGGTCTCACCTCAAAGCCCGAGGGTCTCCCTCTCGCGGGACCCGAAGATGGGGGAAGGGAGCCCACCCCACACCCGCGAGGAATGCCGGGAGCAGTCCCAGGCTCAGGACCTCTGCCCGGCCCTCTGCGCTCATTACCGGTCCCAGCACGAGCGGCCATATTAGGCCCGATGTGGTGGTGCGGAGGGCAAGCCGGCGCCGAGAGGCCTGCTAAGTTATAAGGATACAAGATTCCTGCAGTGGGCAAAGAAGCAAAGCCATCACCTTTGCGCTCAGCTCCCCATTCCCTACCTCTTCCGTCTCTCGAGGGTCGGTCCGGGTCGCAGGCCTCAGGCTGAGCCCGGGCGCCCTGGAGCCCGGGTGCATGATGGGAGATGTAGTTTGAAAGGGAGACTGTGTCTTGGCTCTTCACTCGTCGCTATGGTGACAGGAAAGCGGCAGTTAGTGCCCGCGGGGCTCTTACCTAAAGCTAAGTTGAGGATGCGGCCCGTGGGAAGAAGCCACAGTTCCGTTTCCAGTCCTCTTACTTCCTGGGCAGATGGGCCTGGAATACAAGCCACTCACCACTGTCCAGCAGATATATGACTGTTTACGGTGGCCCTCTAAGGGTTGTTGTTTGTTGTTGTTATGTGCCATAGAGTCAAACCCGACTCATAGCGACCCCTCCTTGGGTTTCCGAGGCAGCATCACTACGGAAGTAGGATTGCCCAACCTTAGGCCAGTGGTAATGGGCTGAAAAAAGGATAGCTAAAACTAGCTTTACTACTCTGGGGTTTTGGAGGGGATTTAATACATCTGACATGGATGGTCAGGGTAAGGGGGATAGGAAACTTCTGTGCAAGGACAGGACGAGGTGATAGTTTGGATCAGAAGTAAAGACATGATGGGAGTTCAGTAGTTAGAGACCCAGATGAAGAAAGGAGCAGCATGAGCAAAGACCCCAAAGCTGGACAGCACCTGTGTGTAAGGAGAGGAAGATTAGACTAGAAGTGCAGCTGAGGTACAGATTGACAAAGGCATTGAGGGCCAGACTGAAGAATTTATCACTGAGTTTCCAGGAGTCTTGGAGCATTCTGTCTCAAGAGAGTATGAGAAATACTCAATTTAAAACACAAGAAGGCTTGGGAGTGGCCCCTTGACTGCTTTGGGAGACAAAATAGAGAAGCCTCCTTTTCCTTACTCTTTCTAAGGAATATTATAGGGATATCTTGTCTGTATACCGAGTCATGGTATTTCCAGTCACCTCCTTATGCATGTGAAAGCTTGACAGTGAACGAGGAAGACCAAAGAAGGATTGATGCTTTTGAGTTGTGGTGTTGGTGAAGAATACTGAAAGTACCATGGACTGCCAGAAGAACAAACAAATCTGTCCTAGATGAGGTGCAGCCAAAATGCCCCTTGGAAGACTTGCCAGACTTTGTTTCACCTACTTTGGTCATGTTGTCAGAGGGGACCATTCCCTGGAGAAGGAGATCATGCTTGGTAAAGTGGAGGGACAGTGAAAAGGGGAAGACCCTCAACAAGATGGATTGACACAGTGGCTGCAGCCATGGGCTAAGGTATAGCAAGGATTGTGAGGCTGGCACAGGACCTAGCAGTGTTTTGTTCTGTTGTACATGGGGTTGCTATGTGTCGGAGGTGACTCGATGGCATCTAACAACAACAACATCTGTATATCAGAATCTCCAAATGAAGTAGCTTGTTGAAGAATAGTAGCTCTTGTCAACGCCTAGGCCTTCTTATGATGAGTGAGAAGTGGCAAGTTCTCGACACCTGCCCTCTCCCCAGTATGTTTCTGGAAACATATATCCAGTGGGAAGCACTTAGAGAGAAGGACACTGGTTTACAGATGTGGCATCTTGAATCTGGGATGTTTTGGATGCATCCTTCCCCCCACCTATGCTAAGCACCACTGAGCATAGAGGGAAGGCCTCAGCTCCTAACTCCTTTCACTGGCCTGACTTTTCATCTATCCTTTGCTTTTCAGTTTTGATGCCCCAAGAAGGTCTAATATCTTTTGAGTTATAAAGGTCAAACCAGTGGGGCAGAGGTATGTATCAGTTTAATGGAATAGAAAGACCATAGACTCCAGAGCCAGACACTTTGAACTGACTCCCAGCTCCACTTTCTAGGTGTTTGGCCTTAGGCAAACTACCTCATCTCCCTAAACCTCTGTTTTCTCATTGGTAAAATGTGGGCTGCTTCACAGCTAACAGTGAGGATTCAATGACAACTGACACATAGTAGAGATTCAAATGTTAGTTTCTTTCTCCTTGTTTACTATGGGATTTTTCTTTTTCTTTCTTTTTTTTTTTAAAGAAAGAAAATAGAAGTAGGTTGTGGCAGCTAATGTGGGCTCTAGATCCAGACCACTAAGGTTTAAATCCTCAAGCTTATTGACCATTTGACCTTGTTAGGTGCCCTCAAGTCAGCTCCAACTCATTGTTACCCCATGTACAACAGAATGAAGCACTGCCCGGTCCTGCGCCATCCTCACAATCCTTGCTATGATAAAGTCCGTTGTCCCAGACACTGACTTTGCACCACTTAATTAACTTGTTTGTACCTTGGTTTCCTCAACTGTAATATGGGACTAATAAAAATAATAGCGAGTGTTGAAAAAGAACATATGTAAAGAGCTTGGAACTGTGCCTATGCATTCAGTATACCTTAGCAATTACTGCTATTTGGAAAGTAGCACTTGAGCTGATAACTGAAGATGAGGACAAGGAACTAGAACCCACTCCGACCCCAGCTCTGTGACCGCGTAGAGGAGACTTAAGCTCCCAGAAACTTAAGAGGAATTGCTGTGGAAGAGAAGGTACCCAATCAGAAGGGAGAGGTAATATAATAATAAGAGAGGAAGAAGGGACTGGAAAAAAAAAAAAGAGCCTTTAGCCACCTCTAGGAAGTGGTAGAAGTCAGGTCTTGCTCTAGAGCGTGTTTAAAACAAAACAAATGTATGGTTTCTGTAGCCAAGAGGAGGAGACAGGAGTTTAAAGGAACCTGCCCTAGTGGTAGACACAGGCTCGGACCTGCTGCCAGAGCCAAGGAACAACCCACCCTCGGCCTCCGCCCTAGCCCTAGCCCTAACCCTGGCTCCTGCGCCCTAGCTCCTGGCCGACGGGCGGGGACGGACGGACTACACCTCCCGGCATGCGCCGCGGCAGGCGGGCCGCTGCACCTGCTCAGTGGGGCCGCCCCGGGCGCCTGGGTATTGATTATTCCATTGTGTGGGACGCCTCGGCTCCAGCCAGTGAATGAGGAGGAGGAGGAGGAGGGCGAGGAGGAGGAGGCAGGGAGCGAGCGAGTGCCCAGGGTGAATCAATGGAAACCCCCTCACGAAGCCGGGAAAACACTTCAGCCGCAGCCAAATAGCATTGATTATTTTCCTTCACTTCCCTCACCACCGCGAATTTATTTATTTTTTTTTCCATCTCCGTCCCCGACGCCCCGGAGCGAGTGCTGGAGGGAGGGAGGAGGAGGGGAAAAATAAGGAATCAACACATCGGAGAAGTCCCTTCCAAGAGCCGCCCCCTCCCCTCCCCGCCTCGCGCTGCTCGGCGGCCGCGGTTCGACTCCCGTCCCTGCTTCCAGCTGAGGTGTAAGTGCATCGATTTCCGATGCTGCTGGGTTGATTTTTTTTTTTTTTTTTTTTCCTCCTCTCCCTCTCTCTCTTCTTTCCTTCCTTGCTCTTTGGAAGCTCGAGACCGAGGGGAGAGGAGGCGCTCGGAGACTGCCGCTGGCGGGGACGGAGAGAGACGGGAAGGGGTTGGGGGAGGGGGCACGGATGGACCGACAGACCGAGAGCCCGAGGAGAAGGAGGGGCAGGGGTGTGAAGGGAGAGGGCGTACGAGCGGGGATGCAGGGGAGAGAGAGATGCAGGGGTGGAGGAAGAAACGGGTAAGGGAAAGGCATCGAGGCTGGACTGGAGCCAGCCGGACAGACGGAGGGTAACGAAAGCCTAGATGGACCGCGCGGAGCTGTGCGGGGCACGGGGGTCCGGAGGGAAGGGGAGGCCGGGTGAGTGAGGGGGCTTGGAGCTGTCAGCTGGAAGGGGCCTGGGTCGCGGCGGCCCCCCGCCGGCCGCGGGAGGAGGCTTGGGACCGCGGCGAGCGGACTGATGGATGGGCTATCGCGCTGGGGCAGGGGTACAATGGGGGTGACGTGGATACCCTCGATCTTCGGTTTTGCCTGAAGTTAAGCTTTTTAAGGAGGGAGACGGTGTGAGTAGGTGAGGGGTGGCCACAACCCCGTTTAAGGTGAAGCATGTCTGTCCGGGGGGCCCCCCAACCCTAGATCCATTCTCGGCTACCCCTCTTTCAGGGTGGCCCTGTCATTTTTGAGCACTCAACCACGCTTCTCCCTCGCGCCTGTAGTCCCTCTGATCTCTGTCCTGTGTGCCTCTTCTTGGTTTTCCCGTTCTTCACCCATCCATCTCCGGGTCTGCCTGTGTGACCCTTCTCATCCGAGTGATCCTTTTCCTGTGTGCGCCCCTGTCACTATGTGTCATGCTTTGGCTGGATGACTGTTCTGCCCATCTAGGACTCCGTGCCCTCTCCGTTAGGGTCGGTGTGGCTATCTCTGGCCTTTTCAGGCTACTTTGGAGTTTGCTTATCAGTCA